ATCACCCTTTATTTACATGTGGAAAGTCCTGGATACTGATCCAGCTCCCTCAGAGCCAGCTTTCAGAGTGTCAGGATGTCTGACATTCCTGTTTTTATCTGTCAGCCAAGGTTCCCTGATTGGGCCAGATTACCATCCCCAATCAAGGAACTCATATTCTATGATGTCCACATGGCTAACCTTGGTACAATCACTGGAGACAGGAAACAGCAAATCTGATTTAACGTGTAAAAGGAACCATTCGTAAAGGCTAATGGTCATATTTTATACAATATGTAAGATCTCACCACTATTTCAAAATTAAGGCAATAATCTGGGATCAGAAGAAATTAAATGGTTAAAAATGGATTTAAGAACAACATTAGTAAGATCTTCTTTATTCAGTGATAATTGTTTTAATTAATCTGCCTGAGATCGTTTAAAATACCATTGAATGCGACAACTGGAAAATAGATAATCATTCTAGAAATCTAATCAACTGAGTAGCCTTTGCTGGACCTTGACTTTGCTTTCATTATTTTGTTAAAATGCAGTGCCTCAAACTGTCGAATAAAACTCCTCAATACAGAAGTAAAGACAAACAATTTAAAAATATGCATGCTTAAGAACAGGAATTGCTGGAGAAACACAGCAGCTCTGGCAGCATCTGTGGAGAGAAAGCAGAGTTAACATTTTGAGTCCAGTGACCCTTCTTCAGAACTGATAGTACAGGAGCCAGAAAAAGGTTGCATATATGCTGATGACAGGGTGCAAGTGGGTGGGCTGGCAAAGGAATGAGTTGATAGGTGGAGACAGGGCCTAGAGGGAAAGAAAGACCATTAGGCAGAAAAGAGGTGGCTGAAAGTAAGCCAGGGAAGGAAAAAAGTTGATAATGGGGACGATAAGTAGCTGAAAATAGGATGGCTGTGCTGAAAGCATGCCATGTCAGGAAAGGGTATGGTATGAGGGTGGGTAAAGGACATTAAACTCAATATTGAATCCTGAAGACTGTAGTGGAAAATGAGATTTTGTTCTTCTGGCTTGATCTGAGCATCATTGGAACACTGCAGCAAGCTTCAGACAGAATGTTGGAGAAATAACACGGTGGTGTGCTGAAGTAGCAGGCATTTGGAAGCTCGGGGTGAGTTTTATGGGCAGAATGTAGGTGTTCCACAAAGCGGTCACAGAACTGTGTTTTGTTTCCCCAATAAAGTGGAGATGAGACAGTGAGCAATACATACAGCAGACTAGACTGAATGTAGTACAGGTAAATTGCTGCTTCACTTGAATCTGGAGCCTTGGATTTTAAGGAGGGAGGAGGTAAATGAGCAAATGTTGCACACACCTTCTCCGAATGGATGAGAAGTGCTCTGGTGGTGGAGCAGTTTTGGAGTGGAAGAGGAGTGCACTAAGGTGTCCCAGAAGGAACGATCCCTTCTGCATCAACCAAAGCTTCTTGTCTTGAAGAATACCAAACTCAAAGGGAACTGCATGAGACTAGCTAGTTTGGCCAGCTCTTTCTCACAATTACGGAATTAAATCTAATGTTGAACACACTGCTCAGAATTTGGCAAGCATTGGCACTCTGCATGCAGTAAGTACTCTGCCTGTTGCCAACAGCTGTAGAGATGTGCTGATTGAAATGACCTACCAGTCATTAGGACATACGGCTTACATTCATGACATCACACAGGCACGGCAATTCACATACCATAAGACTCAGTTGTGTCATAGGCTGAATAACATTCTGTAGATGTTTGGCTTCTGGACAGGGTCTAGACAGCTGAATAAGGATTGCAATTTCAACAGTGATTTGCAGGATACACATTAGGTCTGATCAGGAAGAAAAGTAGTAAAGACTTGCTTGGTTGAATTTTGAAAATCAGAAAGACAGTGGCCGTGCAAATGGTGCTACTGAATTGTAAATTTAATGTTGTTATCTGTTCTCCACTTGGTATCTTCCCACATATTGTGCCACCTACTCTATATACATGTTTGAGGTTGGAAAATTATGCCAGGGAACTGCTTGGATGCAGTCCCATATTCTACCACTGCATTCTGCAAAGCACAATAGAATATATTACTTTGTCATCCATATATTTTCTCTTGACATATTGTTGTCTATACACATAAATGTAAGAGATCCATTGTGGGAAGTGTAACAATCCGACCAAAGGTCTCATAAAGTGGGCAATCTTAACTCTATTTGCATTGCAGTTGTGATGAAAGATCGTTATCCTAACACTAACTGTTTCTTTCCCTAAAGATACTGATCAGCTGAGTGTGTTCCATTATGTTCTGTTTTTGTTTTGTATTTCCGGTATTCATAATACCATACTTTTCCCAAAGTTTACATGACTGATTTACATTTTCACCAGCAATTCAGTTATGGGCATAGTCAATTACTATGTCCAGTGATATATAATCAATGTTTTCTTTTTTCTCATGAATTGATTCCATCTCTCTCACAAAGATGATGACTATTTCCTTGAGTACAATATCACAGACACCTATCTTCATAGAGTACCTCACCAAGCATCTATTAATCCAGTGATGGTGAGATTTGCTCAGTTCATTGGTTGAGACCAGGTTGATCCCAACTTTGGGTTGTATCATGTTCAATATTCATATTTTCAGTTATAGTTACTTGATTATGATTTAAGAGAAAAAAACTGAGTGATTTTGTCCTTCCTAGCCTAAGAACAATGCAGCCAACTGTAAAATGCCAATTTGCTTCTGAGCTTAATTAAAGTAGCTCCGTTCAGATTAGGAACTGAATGAGAGGCTTTCCTGGGCTGTAGCTTCATTTTTACAGGATAATCTTACTAATCCATCAGTTTAGATTCAAAATAATTTTCTTTATAATGATTGATAATGTGTAAATAAAATTATGAACTTTAGAACTGGAAGAAATGTCAGTGATGAAACTAAAATATCCATGGATTCCAAGACGCAGGGTTTGTTGTATTACCATTTCCTATTGTGAGCTACATAACACAGAAGGTACACATAACTAACACTTCCAATGATCTTACACTTACCTATGCCAATTTGCACATCACATTCTCTTACTAAATTTAATGTTCTGGTCTTTTGTTATAAATATTTTCATTCAAATCATATATAATGCATTTGATAATCTACTTTAACTCAGATCAAACATTTCATTTTCATGTTGCATTGGGAACCTTTCTCAAATCAGGAGGCAGCAATTGATTTACTTACCAACCGCACGCTTCCATCATCACCACCCCTCAATATACATGAATGTTCAACCTCAGTAATACGTAATAATGAAGCTACTAATTGAATTTGAAACACTAATGTTATCGTGAGATATCAGATAGCATTTGTAAACTAGTTGTGAGATTTACTCTGCAGTCTTTACTGTCACCTGAATATGCCCATTGAATCATTATTTTCTACTTCAGTTCAATGCAACTATTAGAAGCTTTGGAACAGTCTGTCATAATAAAATTAAATAATATTGTATCAATTCTGAGCAGAGCTTATATATTGAAAGCAGCAATTTTCTCAACCTGTTTCTTACCATTGCAACTCACTAGGCAATGAAATGAGGAAAGGTATGTACAAGCAGGTTGTAGGTGAAGTTAAAGGAGGATCCACCAGGTAGCCTGTCTCTAATTGACACTTTTTTGCTACTGATTATTCTTTTCAGATGGGGTGGTGGAGAGTACAACACAGATATTCAATATGTGGACCTTCATTCAAGATTTTATATAAAAAATAAAAAATTCACTGCCAAGTATTGCAATTATATATAGATACATCCTTAGTACCTGCATAGATTTAAGTGAGTGGCACAGGAGAATTTAATGGGGAGTGAGACAAACAAACATGATATAGGAGAGAAGGACATGTTTTGCTTTCATCTTAAACATAAAAAAGACGCAAAGATCTGCAGATGCTGGAAATCAGAAACATACACAGAAATTGCTTGAAAAACTCAGCAGGTCTGGCATCATCTACAGAGACAAAGCAGAGTTAGAATTTTGAGTTAAGTACGGTCACTGGACTTGAAATGTTAACTCTGCTTTCTGTCCACAGATGCTGCCAGACCTGAGTTTATCCAGCAATTTCTGTTCATGTTTTCATCCCTTGCCTATCCCTAGTTGCCTTTGAGAAAGTGATGGTGATCTGCCTTCTTGAACTGCTGCAGCCCACATGATGTAAGTTGACCCACAATGCCAGTAAGGATGGAGTTCCAGGATTTTGACCCAGTGACATTGACTGATGTGGTCCCAAATCAAATGGCCTGTCACTGCAGAGGGGGACTTTCAGGTGGTGGCATTCCCAGATATTTCCTTGATTTTCTCGATGGTAGTGGCCATGGGGTTTGTAAGGTGCTATTTAAGGAGCCTTTTTTAATTTCCGCAGTTCATCTTGAAGATGATGCTATTGAGCATTGGTGGTGAAGGGACTAAATTGTTTGTGAATGTGGTGCCAATCAAGTAGGCTGTTTGCTCCTGCATGGTTTCAGCCTGATGGTGTCTTGAATGTTGTTGGAGCAGCACTGATCCGGGCAAGTGGAAGGTATTCCTGACTTGTGCTTTGTCGGAGGTGACAGGCTTTGGGAAGTGAGGTGGGTCACTGACTGCAGTACTCCTATCCCCTGACCTGCTCCCTAGTAGCCACTATACTTATATATTTAGTCCAGTTCAGTTTCTTGTCAGTGGTAAACCCCAACATGTTGACAGTTGCTCAACTTGAATGAAATTGGGTAGGAAAGTCCTCGCACAGTTGGACAGGCTGCAGTACCTATCAGGTAGGTGATCTCAATGTTTGACAATACAAATCGGTTGGAGAGGCGCAGACAAGCTGAGGAAGGAAGCAGCCGTGGGCTAGCACGCGCCTCGCCCTCTGTGCACGGACAAACGGTCGGATCAGCGCGCGTGCGCGCGGTTCGGAGAAGGGGGAGGTCATTGACGTCGCGCGCGCTTTCCGGTTAGGGGAGCGGGAGCGCGTACGCGGGTGGCGAGCCGAGAACGGGAGCGCGCAAAGTGGGGGTGGTAGCGAGCCGTGAGCAGCAGGCGGCGGCTGTATCATCAGTCGAGCCGTTTTTGTGGCGGGGGGGAGTGGGTGGTTGATTCTCCCGCTGAGTGGTTAAAGTGTGTTGTATCAGATTTGTTTTTTTTTGGTGCGGGGCCGCTTTCTTTTGCATTTTCTTCCCTGTTGGTGGTTGAGCTCGCGCTCTGTCTCTGATCCGTTCTAGAAAGCCCTGTTCCCACCTTCCCCCTTTTCCCTTTCGGTGTGTCTTTTATAACCCTCTTTTGTTTTGTAACCTGCCGCATCATGTCGACATGATCCGTGCAGAGAACAATGGCTATTCTCGGCATTGCGAAAAGAGCAGTGGCTCTCACTCACCTCGGCCGTAAACGCTGACTGTGGAGAATAACCGTGTGTAAATTATTTTTGTTGTTGTTGTTGTCCTGCCATCATCCAGCAAGACACCTTTAGCGGCATCGATTTCTCGTCCTGCTCATCATCATCAACTTCACCATCAGCCGCCCACCCCCCCTGTCTTTTATTCCCAGATCAGGAAGGCTCTTATTTTAATCAGGAGGACGAACGCCAACTGTTGGGTGGGTTGTGAGGGAATTTGTTTGTGCGCTCCCTCTCTCGAAGCAAAGGACCTGTGAAGGCATTTTATCTCATCGTTTCTGGACACCGAGCTGTGGGATTTTCTTTCTTATTTTTCTAACGTTATTCGGACGAAAATGGAGGCTGTTATCGAGAAGGAATGCAGTGCTCTCGGTGGATTGTTTCAGACCATCATCGGCGACATGAAGGTTGGTGGCTTTTGTAAAATAAAGAACAATGAATGAGCCAAATTAAATAAGGCATAGTGTTTGCACATTTTACCGAAACCTGTCATCTTTTTCTCTCTGTTCTCGCTACACCCGCATTATAATAGGGGTTCGTGAGACACTGCTTAGAAGGTACACAAAGTTGTCTTTTCCCTTGTAGGTTTCCAAGAAAATATATACACGATTACATTAGAGAAAAAAAAACTATTGCTCTGAATTCGCTGATGTTCTGCTGCTAATGTTTTTTCAACATTAAATAAATCGTCTTGAAGCCTACAATAACTAGTCAGTAAACTGCACCTGACAATTTCTAATATAAATATGCAGTATTGGTTTCCCTCGTGATTGGATTGTTTGTACATTACCTACATGAATCAAGAATATTTGTGGGCAGATGTTTTGATCAGTATAGGGTGCTGTTCGATTTGCAACGAACATATCAACAGTAATCTGCAAATTAATCTCAAGCAGTGATAGAGTTTGAGGATGTGAAATTGCCTCTGCCAAATTTACAATTTTTAAAATTCACATTTTGTATTCGTGTTGAGAAGTCTGGCCTTTAGTTTTGAATAAGTATTTTAGTGAAAAGAAATATTTGCACATTTACCATTAACCTCTTGTAGCATTGAAAATAAAGAAAAACCTGTTTTACCTTCAAGTACTTTTATACAGGCTTTTACCTAAATCATTTTATCAGGCTGCATGTTTTATTTCAATTTGCTTCATTAAATGTGCGCTATTTTGTAACATCTGGTTCGCAACAATATGCTTTTTTGTAACATTCCTTTCCAGTACATAGATTAAAAATGAAAACAGTTTAAACCTTTATTTAAATCTGGGCATGTGTACTTTGTATTTCTCATGACATTGAATATGTTGGTGACCCTGTAAAAGAATGATGATATCAGTTTGTATTAAAATGCGCTATTACTTACAGAATTTATACAGTTTTTTGTGATTGGTTTATCTGGATTCTTTTCTCAAAAATAATGTATTTTTGGCATAAAGCCTTGTGAATGGGGTGCTGGTTTTTCAACTGACTATCTGCATTCAAGTCCAGTGCAATATGCTGTATAGTTAGCTTCACCCATATATAAACTATAAATTAGATAATTTCATTTCTTGTTTTTTTTTCAGACTTTTTTTTTGCTTTTTCCTCTCCCCTCTGTGAAGATATTGATTTCAGTTAGGTTATGCAGGTGCTCATGCCCTCCAATATATTGTGCTCTTCCAGGCTAAACAAGAAAGCAATTTATTTAGTCACTAGAGGCACCTTGAGCGATTTCAGTTTTGCTAGTGTTTTGTGGGGTGTGGGGTTATATCGGCATATTGGAAGATGTGGACCTGTTGAAGGTTGGCTGATTTTGTTTCCTTTGTGTGTGAGGAGTGCAGAGGCCAATGTGTATCATCCCTGTTTTCATCCTGGCCAGATTTAGCTAATTTTAATCTGGGCTACATCTCTGTGGCACAGCAATATGAAAATATTAGCACTTGACGCATTGAAAGAGCAAGAATCTTTTTACTGTAAAGCAAAATTCCAAGATTTTTTGATTTTTTTAAAAAAAATGTAAATTCCACATCCTTGCAGTGCAGCCAAATGCATGGTTGTCCCTTGAATTCAAATAGAAGAAATTTATTAATTGTCTTGATTTTGCTTAATGGGTTTTGAGTCATTAATTTTGAGTGATAAAGATGGAACATTTAGCTCTAAGTTTGTGACCTGAATTAGACTGAACAATATAGGAATATGTAGAATCTACTGCTGTCAGTGATGCTATCGCGTTCCTTCTGAAATGTTACATTGCATCTCGTAAACAAAGATGTTGAATTACAAAAAATAGATCAATATGTGTCATTTCAATTTTGTTTTCTACTGGTCTGCAGGTTGTATACCAATCTGGGAGGGCCATCTTGCTTCCAACTGATCTAATATCGTCCTTAAATCATCAAATATGGAGATATGAGTCAACTGAGATCAGTGCATTTGAGATAGTTAAACTCTGGCCCTTGCCTTCCATGTCCTCTTTCCCAGCTAACCAAATTCCAAGATCAAAAGTTGTTTTGCAGATAGAGTCTGAACCTGGTCCCCATGGTGTTGCAATAATGCTGTCATTTTTGATTTGGTGCAGAGTGGTTTACATGCATACTGGCGTAGAAATGGCTGTGATTCCATATATTATACAGCAAACTAAAACTGTGACCTGCTTTCAGGAGAAGCATGTCTCACATTGGTTTGAGCTTGCAGAGAATGGAATATTGCTTCAGCCTTGATTTTAATTGAAAGCCACTGAAGTTTCAAAATTATCTGTGCATTGTTTGGTTATGTGGTATATTCTCACTATAGTGACTGACATTCACACATGTAAGTTTCTGAAAATGATCACGATTTGTTGAATAGAGTGACTGCATGGAGAGAGTCAAAGTCAGAAGGCAAGAGAACCATCACCACTAATGTATGTCTATGACTAGCTAAAGAGACTTGGAAACAACAGATGGTCTCTCTATTTCAGAAACGCAGATTTATTGTCTCAAATGGAGTTGTGAGAAGTAGGGTACAAAGGCATGTACATGTCATAAGGAACAACTTGTTTTGGATTTGATTTAATTTTGAACCTTGACCCTTTTATCTGTGTTCTGATGTGAAACTTATTTTTAATGGATGCAAAGCCATCACAGACTGAAGGCATAAAAAAAGACTGCAGTTATGTGTATTTGTTGTAAGTTGACTGGAAGGACAGTCATTCCATGATTTGCCAATAAGGAGAGCAGTGACCTCTAAATCTAATTAGATTACATTTGTTTTAAAAAAACTTTTTTATGATGGTAGCAGTTCTTACAATGGAAATGGAAGTCTCACTTAAGAACCTTGTAAAAAATTGGAATAATACAATAACTTAACTAAGCATTGCTTTTGATTTGTGGCACCTCCAGATCTCCTTCCTTCTAATGGATTTTTCTTTTTCACAATATAATGTTTTTTTAAAAACTGCAGATTTCTAAATAAGTGGTACTTTTTAAGCTGCTGTGGTCAAATCAGTATTAGTTCGCTGCTATCAGATGTGAAATGCATTTTTTTGTATTAAAAATAAGTAGCTTGCAAAATTGTTGCAGTAGTATTTTGTTAACCGTAGCAACTGATTGACTGACTAACATTTTGTTCACAATGGCACATTATTTGAGGACAGATTTTTCTATTTGAATTTCACTTGCAATGTATTAATTTCAAACCTTAGGATAATTTTAAAGGAGTTGCAGAATTATATCAATTAAGATGCCTTTTGCTAGTTTGACAGCTGCAACTTTGAAAAGTATTCCAACATTTCTTTTAAAGTTCTGAATTATAATTTTAACACAAGGCATTGTTCTGGGAAAATTTTCCCCAATGGGATATGATAGTAAAAATTTCTTCGCTCAATGAAGTTTAATGTGGCCCTTGTTATTTTGTTTCTGCATTTTTATTTGACTTCAGCTGATACAAAACATTCATTTACAAACTAGATAAGTACTTAGAGACAAAACAATATTGATATGGGGAGAGAGCAAGAGAGCAGGACAAATTGGGTTTACTTATTTCAACAAACAAAGACAGAAATAGCTTCAAAACATCAGATGTGACAAGTTGCTGGACTCAACCTTAACTCTGCTTTCTTCCCACAGATGCTACCAGACGTGCTGAGTTTTGCCAGCAATTTCTGATTTTGTTTCGGATCTCCAGCATCCACAGTTCTTTGTTTTATTTTAGTGTTTTTTAAAGGATCTGCATTACTCCAGAGGCCAGATAGCCTCCTTTTGTCCTCTTCAGTTCAATGATATTGTATTATTATTGCAATATTTCCTAGTTCTACGTGTTCAGATATAATGTAGATCACTCTGTTTGGCATAATATCTTCTCTACTGGCTACTAAAGGAAAAGAGACTGCTTTGAGAGGCAACGTACGTATTTTCTCTGTTTTTAGAGTGCAGTTATTGCAGATACTGAGCAAACAACTTGAAAAATAGAAACAGAAATAAGTTGATTATCTATTGACAGGCTTGTGAGAAATTCTAATTCTAGGTCAGAACTCAGTTAGTCAGAAACAGACCAAAATGCTTTGTCACCACAATTCCTAAGTTAATGTGCTTTGCATCTAACTTTGAATTTATTTAAATAGCCTGCAGTTTCTTTGGATGTTGTTCCTTTTTGGAGTCAGACTATTAAACTGACCACAGTAGTTTGGTGAAAATTATTAAAAACAGTCTGGTTGTATTAAAGGTTTTCTAATTGACAGACCTGTGACCCATGTGTTATTTTGACGCACACACATGCGTGAATTTACATTCTATTTTGTTCAAAAAGAACATAATTTATAGACAGTCAGTCAATGTGGCATTTTATAAATTCCTGCTTTAGAAATAAAACCAGCCTGATCCAAACCAAAACATTAACAGATTCTAAACAACACCTTACACTTAACATGCATTGTCTGACCTAAAATGTCATCTCTTCTGTACACTGATAAAACCTTTAGTTCTCTCAGGACAGTGACTTCGAAGGAATTCGGGGATTTAATCAATTAAAAACCTTCTAACTGATTAAAGATTTAACAGCATCTTAGGTTTGTTTAATATGCCCTTATCAGTGGTGTGACCCTTTGATCTTTTACTTATAAATTCTGTGTTGATACTTCCTCTCTCACTAACACCTGAGGAAGGAGTAAGACTCCAAAAGCTTGTGTTTTCAAATAAACCTGTTGGTCTATAACGTGGTGTCGTGTGATTTCTGACCTTGTCTATCCCAGTCCACCACCAGCACCTCCACATCATTGATCCATCCTGTCATTATGGAGATCCTACGTTTAAACATAGTACAAATTTCTGGAAAATATATAAGTATAAAGAACAAAATTATTTGTGTTTGTTGTGATAAAATATTTCTGTTAGGCCCCTGCTTGTAAGAACATTTACCTTCTTTAAACAATATGCACAGTCATTGCTAGGATTCC